AGAGAGAGAGAGAGAGAGAGAGAGAGAGAGAGAGAGAGAGAGAGAGAGAGAGAGAGAGAGAGAGAGAGAGAGAGAGAGAGAGAGAGACCAAAAGGCAGAAAAACTTTTCTTCCTCACAACAAAGTAGTAGGAAGGCCTGAATCTGACAACACCTGCAATAGAGCAACAGAAGGTATTTGAAAAGACGGAGGAAGACGCTGATGGCGGAGCGAGGGGAAGCACAAACAAAGAAAGAAAGAGGAAGGGAAGGAGGCTTGGAGGCAGGCAGCGAGAGAGGTAGGGGGGCGAGGGAGGGAGGGTGGGAGGGAGGAAAGAAGAACAAGGAGGAGGGTGAGGGAGGGAGGGAGGGAGGAAAGAAGAACAAGGAGGAGGGTGAGGGAGGGAGGAAGGGAGAGAAGGAAGGACGGAGGGAGGGATAGAGGGAGGAAGGACAGGAGAAAGGGAGGAAGGGAGGCAGGCAGGGAGGAGAGGGGGAGGGAGAGCCAGGCAGGGAGGGAGGGACGGACGGAGGAAAGCCACGGAAGGAAGGCAAGGACAGGGGGAGAGGGGAGAGGGGAAAGGGGGAAAGGGGAAAGGGGGGAAGGGAGGGAGGGAGGGAGGGAGGGAGGGAGGGAGAAGGGAGGAGGGCATCCCTTTGAAGAAGAAACAGTTAGAAAATTTTGGGATGCAACAGTAATGTCAAGACCCTAGAGGGTTGGATCCATTCCATAAGGGCTAGCCTGATTCCATCATCCACTGGGCGCACCTTCAAGGTCTCTCGAATCTCATCAGGGAACTTCCTACCCCAGATGCTCGTTCCACCACGGCCTGTGCCTGTATAGGACAGACAACGATGCCACAAGTCAAACCTGCTAGCTCCATGCATTACGTGAAAGTTTATTTTCCGGTTTCTACCTATATTCTTCATTGGCGAGCTGTGTTTAGCCCAGAACAGAGAAAAATGCAACGACTTGCTGATTCTGCAGCCTGCGGCTCGTCTACTTGAGGCTGTAACATAGGTAGGCTAGATTCGTAATTTTGTTTGGCTGAGGGCTAATCAAGATATCTGACTGTGAGGGAAATCCGTGAGGGACATATCTGCAAATTCGGGAAAATTTCAGGCCCGCACTGCGAATAGCAGGCCCGGGCTACCACTAGGACAGACAGGCCCTACGGCCTATGCGGTTAGACCGGTCCTATGGCCTATAGCCGGGTAGGGAGAGGCCCTAGGGGCCGGAACTGAAATGGTACCGGTCAGTCCAGTCAGTCTGGTCTAGGTCGAGTCTAGGCTAGAGTAGTCTATTAATAGATTGTTTGGCAGCTGGTACCGTGTACATCGGGACTGCGCAACGCGTGAACTGGAGTGGTGACAGCTTCCGCTTTGGAGGAGACGGACATAGCCAGACCCTCGAAGCGTCGGCCATCGCTGGGACCTTTGCTGTTCTCGGACAGCACACGGGGCTGTTCCGAGGTCTGGGCTTCTGAGGTCTGCTGGGAGCAGGAGAAGTTGGTGCAGGGTAGTGGCGCTGAGGTGGCGCTGCTGCAGATCTTCACCGGGGAGGTCTTCTGGCACTTGATCTTCATCAGAGACTGTGGCGCTGGTCTTCTCCTTCGTCCTCTGAGAGGCGCTTGGCCTCAGGGGCCTGTTTCAGGGTGGCGCTTCCCTCTGGAGGCAGTATATGGGTGGCGCTGGTTGTTTCAGGGGTTCTGGGCTAGTGGATAGCGGTTACTCAAGAGTTGGGAGAGAAGCGCTGCTCATTTCTGAGCAGCGCATCATAGTTCTGAGATTGTTCTGGCAAACGAGACTCTGAGTTTAATAAACAGTGTTGGTACTGTGTGTGAGCTATCTTTGCTTCATTGTTTTCTGGATGTGATCTACTCGGCTTTCCTTTGTGACTGGTTGTGAGGATTCTGTGGAGCGAATTGCACTTTCAGTGTACTCTGTCATATCGCATGGTTAAGTCTTCCGCTGTGTTTCTCTCTCCCTGTGCAGTGTGATACTCCCATCCTCTCCCCTTCCTTCTGTGTATGTATGGGCATACTTGGAAGTCTATGTGAGTGAGTGTTGGCCTTCTGACAACAAGCAACCAGGTTCAATCACAAAAAGGAGTGCGGAGGAACTCGTTGAGCAAGGCGCAAAGGGATGCATGTGTACAGCTCAAATCTGGCTTCTCCGTAGTAGCTTCGGCATCCCGTTTCTTCTTAATGTTTCGGAGCAAGGCGTGGCCAATGAGGGTAGGTGGATGAACCAGTTAGAGCAGGGGGCTGAAAATGGGTGGGACATTTTTTTGAAGATTTTTATCATTCAGTGCATTCACTGAATTTCACTCACTGATTTATTCAATCAGCCACTCAACCACTGTCCAGCACTCAACCACTCAACCAACCACTGAACCAACATCTTAATGACTCAAACAACCACTGAACCACTCAAGCACTGATGGACTCTCCCCATGATCTATCATCAGACCTGGTCAACAGACCTGCTTGAGCAGTTCAGGAACATCCTCGTCAACAGAGACGAGGATGTTCCTAGTCCACAGACCTGGTCAGCAGACCGGAGACACATACTCCCCCGCTCACTTGACGAGGATGTTCCTGGTCAGCAGAGACGAGGATGTTCCTGGTCCACAGACCTGGTCAGCAGGCCGGAGACACATACTCCCCCGCTCACTCGCTCATTCCTCCATGCACCTGCCCACTCACCCACCCACCCACCTTGCTCATACAAGTCCCTTCCACTTTGCATACCATCATCTCGGATTTCTCTGTACGTCGTAAGCGCATCAGGATGTATCGACGGTACCGTCTTCACCCAAATAGAGCGCAAAGTCGTTGTAGGCTTTGTAGCTGTATTATTTGGAGCACCTTGCTGTCTAGATACAGTGATAGTGACCGTGTGTTCCATTCGGGTGAAGACAGGAGTGGTAGTGTTGTCCCACAACTGTTGTCATTGCTATAAGCCCATACCACATACCGCAGGACGGTAACCACCATGGCTACAGGGGGGGTGGGGGGGGGGGGTGGGGGTGTTAACCACCATCTTCCCCCAAACACAATGCACCTTGATCATGAATGTACACAAGCCATCTTTCCAGTCCGATAAAGCCATGACAAGGGTGCGCTCTGTTCGGGTGAAGACAGTAGACGCTAACTTTTAAAAAAAAAACGAAAAATATTTAAAATTTCGAAAACATTGTGGGTGGCTGGGGGGGTAGGGAGGATTGGGGGGCGGGGGGGGGCGCTGCAGGGAAGGGGGGAAACAATGTGGACAGATGTGGAGCATCCTTGGGACACATCCAAACCCAGACCGATAAGTTACTGGGGACCAAGTCCCACTTACCCATATCCTTCGTTTCTGATCGTAGATTGCAGAGAGCGACGGTCAAAAATAAGAATTTCGCCAAGTGGGACTTGGCCTGATCGGTTACAGGGGGCCAAGTCCCACTTACCTGCATCCTTCGTTTCTGATCCTAGATTGCAGAGATCGACAGTCAAAATTGAATCATTTCGGCAAGTGGGACTTGGCTCAGGGCCCAGTAACTGGCCGATCAGTTACTGGGGACCAAGTCCCACTTACCCATATCCTCCGTTTCTGACCCTAGATTGCAGAGATCAACGGTGGACTGGCCACAAGTAGGTATCACCATAGATCACTTCTCTCACTCATCATGCATGCACACTCCCTATCACACGAGGATCTACTTTGAATACTACTCACTGGTGTCTCCTACTGACTACCTCTACTAGTATACTAACTTGCGCTGGCGCAGCTATGGCTGCCTTCCCTCTGGCCAGCGCTCTCTTCCCTCGCACATAGTGCTGCTCTTCAGCCTAGCGCAGCTCACACACATCTGGCGCACAAGTGCCACGGCACTACCACACTCTCATGCGAAGTAAGCATCTCTCTCGACACATTCAATGGCAAAGTATCTGAGTCCACCAGGCCCTTGATGAAGCTGAAGTACTTGGGAAGCAACTCATCAAACTCGTCTGAAATGAAGACTCCCCGGACATAGAGCTTGAGAGCCAGCTTTGTGCTGTAGTAGTTGTCGTAAATATCATACCGCCTGCTCTTACTTTATTGACTTCTAGATCTGCGATAATTAGCTGCCCTTTCCGTTTTTTCATCTCGACCCAGGCTTTGCGACGAGTGGCCAACTCATCACCCATGCCTGCGAGGGATCCACCTAGAGAAGGACTGGCCAGCCTCCCATTTGGACAGATGCTTACTTCGCATGAGAGTGTGGAAGTGACATGGCACTTGTGCGCTAGATGTGTGTGAGCTGCGCTAGGCTGAAGAGCAGCGCTATGTGAGAGGGAAGACAGCGCTGGCCGGGGGGAACTCATCACCCATGCCTGCGAGGGATCTACCTAGAGAAGGACTGGCCAGCCTCCCATTTGGACAGATGCTTACTTCGCATGAGAGTGTGGAAGTGACGTGGCACTTGTGCGCTAGATGTGTGTGAGCTGCGCTAGGCTGAAGAGCAGCGCTATGTGAGAGGGAAGTGAGCGATGGCCGGGGGGAAGGCAGCCATAGCTGCGCCAGCGCTAGTTAGTATACTAGTAGAGGTAGTCGGTAGGAGACACCAGCGAGTAGTATTCAAAGTAGATCCCCGTGTGATAGGGAGTGTGCATGCATGATGAGTGAGAGTAGACCAGGACTATAGACAGAGGAAGAGAAGAGAGAGATCAAAGGGGAAGAAGTGAGCTATGGTGATACCTACCTGTTGAGGCGTTGTTGACGTTAGACAGCTGGTGCTGATGAGCGCCAGGCCTGGGAGTTCATGTTGATTGAAGAAGACTTGTAACTCTATTTGGCGCTGTACACTTTGAACTCACGATGTTCTCTCTCTAATTCTGGGTTGAGCTTCCTGGTTCTCATTCATTTTCTATTGGGCTTTGTGTGATACATCGCAATCTGTGAAATCTGTGTATATGCGTGTGATCTGATGCACTCCAGCAAGCGATGAACAGTCGGGTTCCTTGCAACGGTCAGAAATGAAAAATTTCGGCAAGTGGGACTTGGCTCCTGGCCCAGTAACTGGCCTTGAAATTGTACTTGGCCTGGTGGCTGCATCTACAGTGGGTCAAACTGTTGGGCTACCATCATCCTCCAAACTCAATGAAACCTGGTCTATGTGACAACATATAAGCTATCTTTTCGACCTGATACAGTTACGATGAGGGTGAGCTGTGTTAGGGGAGGAAGACACTAGGCCCTCTCTGAGAGTTGTGTTGTTGCCTGCGGAGGGTCCTGAGTGATGCCGTGAACTTGACTGAACGGATTCCAGCTGCAACCACGCACGGGTGAGATGGATGTTGTTATCGGTATGACTCCACCCTTGAACACGGTCGCAGTGGTGAGGGCATCCGGGTATTATGCCAGAGGTCGCCGATTCAGTTCCATGTGGTACTCTGACCAGATCCCAGGCCAGACGATAATGCTCTGTTGCCAGAGGGAAGGATGATGATGCTCTCTTTCCAGTGGTCTGCTGGCCGTTTGTCCCAAGTCGCGCTTGACCCGAAGTAGGTGTCCCTTGTCATTTCACTTGCGGGATGGGGACAGGACGGGGGGGGCCTTTGGGTGCAGTATGGCCTGATGTGAACGGCATCCAACGAGTGGACGATTATGCCTGAAGACTCGAGAGGTACACTGCATCCAGCATGGTAACCTACTGTCTTCCCCCGAATAGAACATACGGTCATTATAGCCGTATTTGGCTCACCTTTCAATCCAGATGCGGCGAAAATGACTGTACGTTCTATTCGAGGGAAAAGGTAGCCTGTGTTTGGGAAAAAACAAAGGCCATCAAGAACCTGGTCGTCATCCC